ATATCAGAATAGCGTAACACGGATGGACGATTATCTGTGTGCCGATATTAGATCTGATCATAACATCATACAAAGATTTTAATCCAGTTTTGTGAGTGGTGTATCGCACTAATATTTATAGAATGCATAAAAATACAACAACTTACCTCACATTGATCACAAGTTCTGCCAATAAACCTGCCTTTACATGTACATTGGCCAGAAACGTTATCGCATTGTTTCGACTCAGATCCAAGGGGATCACATTCGCATGCTTTACAGTTGGAAGCTGCCGGGTCGCCGTAATGATCTGACTTACATCTTTCACATTTCCAACCTTAGATCCGAAAATTTTAGTTAGATACTGTTGCCAATTGTAATTTATGTTTTCCGGTCAATTTCTTGAGTACACGCGTACATACCTTCGGTATTTCCTTTGCATGCTAAACATTGACCGGTTCTTCTATCACATGGACCACCGCTACAGTCACAGGGTCTGCAACTGTTACCAATTTCCAGTGGATCCCCAAAATAACCATCGTCACATCTGGAAAGATATATTTTTTTAGCAAATCTTTCAATATTTTTCTGTGACTTTTATTGAAATTTTATAGCTGTGCTAAACCGACTCTTGCAAAGCGAATTTGTTACCTGATTCATAGGTACTGAAACAGTTCTCTCAATTAGTTGGAATTAAATAAATTATTTCTAGAAGCGTGAGTAAATTGGCGATTGGGTTGAGTAGTGCACCCCTAGTTAGATTTTGTCCGATTAACGTGTCCTATTTACGTTTTCGCGGTCAAACTAAAAGTGTTATCATTGCAATGCAACGAGAACTTTTTGCTGTTTTACTGTAGAAATATACCTCATTTAATAACTCTTTGAAACCCACTAAGTTACTCCATTAAAACTCATCCCGTTAAAAATAGATACTACTTAGATACTACTCTTCCTGCATGTAAGTATACACCAATCTGTTTATTACTTACATTTCACAATGATCCCCTGTGTATCCTTTCGGACACTGGGTGCATACATATCCACCTTCGTTAGCCAAATTAAAGTAATCCAACTGGCAACTGGGGCTGAAATTGTTTTCGATATTTTCCATAGGACAGGCACATTTCTTGCAGTCGCCGATTGTGCTCCTTAAAGGATTACCGTAGAAACCCACCGCACATCGTTCGCATTTCTCTCCTATAGTGTTATGCTCGCAAAAGCATTCACCTGAAAAATATGAATACAATAATACATTCGATAGCATTCCGATTGCCGTAAATAATTTTAAAACATAAATATTTGCGTATTAAAAGTCAGACCATTTTCTCAAAATATAAAGTTTGAAAGTTACCTAAACATTCCAAACAAAATTTAGGAAGCTTTAATTCAAAACGTTAATTAACTAATGAACTGAAGCTGAATATTTTTGCTTTTTTTAAACACTACTTTGGTATATCCAGATTTATTTAGTAGAAAATAGCTATTTGTGCATTGATTCAAATAAACCAATCCTGAACAAAACCTGAAAAGGCATAAGAGAGTATAATTTATAAATAATATCAAAGATAAAAAATATTCAGGGATAAATTTGATGTGAACACCATAAAATCTAAGGCAAATTGTCTGTTTGCTGAAAATTTCAATTTTAAATACATATTTAATTAATTTTAAACATAGTGTGTTTACAAATTATGAATTAATTTTAACAATATAAATGAAAATAGGAAAACCGATTGTCTGAAACGCGAAACTACAAACTAATTGCACCTATTAATGTTAAACAACCTCAGCGATCATATATGCTTTAGGTACATGTAAGTTTAGTTTTATAAAAAAGAAGAATTTCGAAAATATTTCACGCTATTCAACATTTCAATATCATCTGTCATCCCAAGTTTACTTCGACCTCAATTTATCTGGCCAGCTAAGCGAAAATTGGATCAAAGTTACGTACCCCAAGATTTTTAAATTTAACCGATTGTGTTTTAGGTTCCTTTAAAGCTCAAAAATAAAGAAGTGAATAAATAAAACTTTTCTACCCTGCAGTGGGATTTATTTCGCAAAGAACATTTCTTGTTTAGGTAAAGCAAATATTTTCAATACTGTTACTCCAGTTAACTTAAGATTTACGCATTTTCATGATTTTTCTACATATTGATTGTACCAATTTAAGCAAAAAATGCATTATTTGGGGCAAAAATTCTTCAAATGCGCTGTCGAATATCTTGATATTGGTGAATGTGCCTTAATTTATCTTACCTGTATCAGCGTTGCAAGTAGCTGAATGACCATTACAATCGCATTTTCCACAATAGCTTTCTTCTTCGTTTTCTGAAGTGTTCGCAAATATTCTAACGTATCCAAAAGAGCAACTTTCACAAGAAAGGCCGGTGTAACCTGAAATGAAAAGCAGTGTCATAATTCGCTTCAATATGTTATGAATTATAATGCGTTACAGAACATACTTTTTCAATTTATACGACCGCATAATTCTCACCTGATGGACAGGAACATTTTTCAACGGTTCCACTTTCGTAAGTGAGTTCTTCGTTGCCGTAACTCATCGTTGCACTTTCCAGCAATGCCTCAATTTGGTCAGTGTGGAAAGTTCCTATTGAAAAGCATTGGACATTAAATATTTTTAAATAAATAGCAATATAACTTTACTTATAATAATACGAAAATATATAAATCTTCAAACACATTTACTATGTTGACTTTAGCTCTATCATTTTTTTATTATTTAAAGGTGAAATTAAATACATAGATCACCTCTTAATAAAATGTGCTTTATATCGGCCAGCACATGTAAAAACTGTTCTCTTGTCGCCGGTCCTTTAACATAATCGGATTTTGTCATTCTCGTCGTTATATCTTGGATCTCGTTGGGTATTATGTACCATCCATGCTCGCTTAGCGGAATGCTAAAAGACATCTTTTGGGAACCATATATGTGATCTCCATAACCTGCGAGGAAAAACAAGTTTACAATGAATATTCCGTAGAGCTACGAGCAACGATATTTTTAATTTATACCCTTCTAGTTTAGAAATTACTACTTTAATCCAGTCCGTTAGTTTTTCATCCCTAAAATTATCTGCATTTTCCTCTTACTGTTTTCCGCATTACTTTACGAGCTTGTAAATTTTATTGTAAAACATCTGGCAGACCGAAGTAGAAAAGTCGAATTATTTTACTGAAAATACAACCCGTATATTTGATTTTACTATTTTTTTTTAAAAAGCAGCCAATTAATTACGCATGAGTCCAACATTGTCCACTCTCTGATTACGGAGAACCACAAACATGAACTGGTATCCGTATTCAGAAAATTATGATAATAGAAACTTAAAAGTAACGGGTCATATTGAAGCCTATCGTGCTCTTTGCATGTAAAATATCGTTAAAACTGTTCACGTTTGGTTGGGTCTTTATGAAAATGAGCTGTCTATTTTTCTATGCCTCTGCATTATAATCATTTCAAACATTCCAAGCATTATTGATTTCTGATGATGCCATTCTGAAAACGAAGTAAAATTTGCCTCTAACATCTTTGTTCGCAAAATTTCCCTCGTTTCTCGTTTCTAAGAAGATCTTTCTAAATCATATATTATCAATATCAAAAGAAGTTTCGCATTTTGTTAACTTGCATGTAACTGAAATGTTGTGTAAAAGTTGTGTATACCATATTAAAAATCTCTTTTATCGCTTTCAAATATTTCTGTTCACTTCCCGAATAGGTACTACTGTCGTTTTTGAGAGCTAATAAATGAAATAATATGCCTACAATAATGCAACTGAATATTAAGAATTGAAAACAATTTAAAAAAGTACGTAAATTGATATACTGATTCTATAGTGATAAAAATGTAAAACGTTTAATACTTTTACAAATACAACACTTTCAGAAAAACCCGATTCCTTCTAATATTTACGCAAATAAGATAAATAGCTTTGTTCAAGAATAAAACATCTTACAGTAAAGTATTTGGTCATTTGAGCAACCAAAGCGGAGCAAAGTGCGGGAAAGTGGAAATCTTGCACACAATCTTGTATTTGGAACATTTCAGAGGAGTGTCAAACTAAAAGAAAATTGTGGTGCATTTCACACGCGATCTAATGTTTACTGCTTTAATGTTACGATTAACGAGAAGTGCCACACGTTCTTTAAAATATTTTAGATAAATAGTAAATGGGGTAAATCGATAAATAGTAATTTTAGATAAATAGTTACTAATTATTTTACATATTTAACAAAAATATCTGCACTCACTTCTTATTTTACCGATTTTTTTAATGTTAAAATTGAGCTTGTGAGTAGTTGCTTTATGAACGTAATAATTAAAAAATTATAAAAAAAATCCCATATTTACATGTTCCTTAAAAAAAGTAAAGAACAAATTTGCTATTTTTACATGATTTATATTTTATTTAATTAATTAAAAAATATGTTATGAAGGCTGAATCAGTATCAGCATCGAGCTCTGCAGTTATTGTGGCAGTACATTATATTTAATTAACCCGTATAAAAATTCTAGTCCTGACTGGAATAATGTATTGTTCAAAATATGGTAAACGGGTTACTTTTCGCAGCTTTTATTGCAGAAATTTGATTCCGATGTACATTTTGATCAACAACGTATCGGTTAAATTGCTGCTTCCACACTTTTTGGTCGATTCAATCAATCGAAATATTGTTTGAAACTTATTTCAATGCATTTTTTCAAATTACATGCCATGAAGAACTGCCAATCTGCTTAGCAGGTCAATTATTTGGTGGGCGGTGTAAATGGGACCACTTTTAAAATCCCGTATTTTCTCCCATTCCCTCAAGGAATGAATTGCCTTCATTTTGCGAATGGTCAACTAATTTGCTTAAAAAAGTTTGCCTAGACCCTCTTATATCATTCATTCGTCATATATTCAACAAGTAAAACGTTAGTTTTTCAAATTTTTGTTGAGAAAACATTATTGATTCATGTGCGATTGGAAATTGGTTTTCTCATAAAAACAACAATGTTTTTATTTGAGTAAAATGATAATACTAAAAGTAAATACCTAACTGTAATCCATTTGAGCCAACCATAATCATGTCAGGTCCAATTGTCGGTTCACCGCTCGTATCACCACGCATAACCACCCATTGAACATTGAAAACGAAAGTTGAGCCATAAATTTCCAACTTGTTACCCAAATAGTCTCTCGGTGCCAGCCAATAGAGATTCTCAATTCCAGGTAACTCATAATTACCGACCGAGAACACACTCGTAGAGCTGGTAACTGGAGTTATATATGCTGAAACTCTCAGATCGGTGATTAACCAATTTTGTAGAGTTTGAATCTGAGAGAAGAAAAATTTGTTTAATACTAAAATCATCCTTAAAGTTAGTGTGCTTAAAGTGTGCAGTTTGATGATAAAACTTGTTCTTATTAAGTCTTAATAAATAATTTATAAGAACATTATTCGGATCCTAACCTTTCGAATAATGCCAAAAAAGCTTTCAACACCCTGCAGTTCGGAGAGTAACAAATCGCGGTTGAAGTGTTTTTCAGTTAAATATTCAGTTAGTTGTCTTGGCACTTGTTATCGAATCATCACGTACATTATTACATAGTCAATTATATATCAGTAGATCGTATTTTGTAAAAATAAATATCCCATATATTATAATTTATATGGACTTGCAGTTATGATGCAAAAGAGTCAAAGCTTATTAAACTCATGATTAGGGAGAAATTGGGATTTAATACTTACGGTGTTCAATTTGATGAAACCTAACTCACACAGAGTCGTGACACCGGAACAGAAGCACGCCAGGCAGCCATCAGCGTTCTTCTCTGATAGTCCAAAATACCCAGATTTGCACCTATCGCAGTATTTGCCTTCAACGTTTTGCTAAAGACAAATAAACATTGCTAAGAATAATTAAACGTAATACTGGAAAAAAAATTAAACGAGTTCTAAATTATGTACCTTACAAAGACATTCGCCTTCACAGTCTCCAGTGGCAGTAACTCCCTTAGGGTCACACGGGCAAGATTCGCAGTTTGGATAGCCTCGAAACCCTGGGGCACACATATCGCATTTCAAACCAATATAGCCTAATTTGCATTTACATACTCCCGCTGATTCGCCATACTGAAACACAAATTTAATATTGAAGAATCGTTTATCAAGGAAGTAGAAAATACAGTACGTAAAGTAAGTCCGACTCTTGAGATAGCGGGCTAATTTAGCTCATAGGTAGCAAATAATAATGCGCACATTTAAAAATTTTAAAATTATTTTCGGAACATGAGTACCATATTAATATTTTCAAAGCTTAAAATACATTATAATTAGCATCAAGTAAGTACATTGTTACATTTTCGGAGATGTTTCGGACTCTAGCGGTCCTTCACTTATAGTTTGACTTTCTACCAGTTCGCATTGCCTTCTTTCTGTTCTAAATACCTACTTCCTTGTTCTTGTTTCTGTTTTTGGTTCCTTCTTTCTTGTTCTTCTAAACGCTTTCCCGCTGGTTCTTAATACTTCTTTGGGTTTTGCGCGTTTCTTTCTGTTCCTCTTTCTGTTATTGCATAAGGGTAATGAAGCAAGCTGTCCCTCTATTGCTTTACCTTCTAGTCACTGTCGTAAAATTTGCAATGTTAAGTAGTTAAACATTTACATACAGCAACTATATCCTTAAAAGTTTATCTGGAGGCGCACTTCTGACACCACTTGCTACGATTTTGGAGTTCCAAAGATTTCAATAACTCGCTCTGTTTGTAAACGCAATTTAATAAACACAACCCGTGTTAAAGCGAACAATAATCGCTCTACTATGAACCTTGATTCAATAGCTCGATCACGAACTAACAGGGGAGCGTCGCGCTCACTTTATATATCCGTTTGGCAATACTCGAATATTCAAGTTCTATTTTTAATGCTCTATCATTTCTTTAAATACAAGTTTATCAAAAACATATTTTTTTCCAACGTCTATTAAATTGCTCTTATGAACATGAACATGAACTTCCACTTTAATTGCTGATATTAACAATTTCTGCTCTTTTTTGGTAGCACCTCAAAAGCTTGATTATTAAACTATCTATTAGCTTTGAATTTTCCAAAGTGATATTTTCTGTCACAAAGCTTGGGGCAATTTAAGTAGCATTTTCTCCTCAGGAACTGTTTTAAGACTATATTGGAAACAAGATTAAATGAAACCGGTCTATTAGTCCGAGGGTGCAAACGTGGATTGTAGATGAAACTCTTACTGCAGCAGGCCACTGATTATTGAAATTTCGACTTAAATAGTTCAGCATTGTGTATTTTTAAAAGAGGTAGTTCAAAAACCCTTACTAACAGGGGATTACATCAATAAAACCGAATGCTCATTTTAAAACTCTTACAATAAAGAGGAGGCTATTAACCTGCGGTTTTAGAAATAAGAATTTTTATTTTCACCTGTACACAGATATCTGGTGATGATCCAACTACACTGCAATCGCATTTCAAACATGGCTTAGAGTCGTGGGCAGAAACATTAATCGGCCGAAAAAATCCAGTCAGGCACTTCTCACAGTTGATTCCGGTTGTAAAGTCCTGAAACAATACATGATATTTACTCTGATTCGTGACTTTTGGAAATCAAATTAGATTTTTGCGTGTTACATCTCAATTAAACTTCCATAGAGATTCAAATTTGAATATAGTCCTATAACTCACTTTATTTTTAACCTTCGAAAGACAAGTACTAAGTTTATTGATCAATCAATCAATCAATTGAAGTGAAAACTGTGAACAAAACAAATATGTGACTTCTTTCAATTGTGATATTACATATAAAGTAGCCTTTTTGTATGCGTGCACAAACTCATTGTTATTTGTAAGATCAAGGTAACGAAAATAACATACATAATGAATTAATGAATGGTTAGAAGAGCGTACTAAAAATTTTGTAATCTCTGATTAATTTGCATCCTGAATTGATATTAGTTATTCACTCCAAAAATAATAAAGTATAACATGTATTGAAATAAAGGTAAACCTTTTATAAAAAAAAATTCCAAATGTACTTTTGAAATGTACGTACTCATAATATACTTCTGCCGAAATTGAGGTTTATATCATCGTGAAATTCCATTTGCATCATTAACATATTTGCTTATTTGTTACAGATAATGGAAATACTTTGTAGAAACAAATGTATCTGATGAATTAAAATCCATTTGAATGCTACGAAATTAAATATGATTCTTCACTGGGTGATAAAGGCCCCTCTTCAAAAAGATAGTAAAAATCAAACAGTATTTCTGAGATTGAGAGTAGTAAGCTTCATTTAAAAATATACATTTTCAACATTCAAGTTAAGCAATATCTGACACAATTCATTGGATGCAGGGAAGGTTATATTGTATACATATAATAGAAGTATGAAATAAATGAAAATGTATTCTGTAAAATCTTTAATATATTTCGGCATTACCATTATACTGCCTCTTCTAGCACGCACATATTGTTATAAAAATTCAACACTTTTTTTAGTCACTTGTTTCTCACATAAATGTTTGATAGTTAATATAACTTGTAGAATGTAGGTCTTCTGTTCCTTCATACGAATACCAATTGACTTCTTCTAGTACTTACATTAGTAACATTGAATATACATCGAGCAAGTATCAAAATGAAACATTTCTGCATACATTTGGAATTAAATATTCAAGAAATTAATGCGTTTGAATCTAGTTCGCAGAAATGAAGTCCTGAAACCTTACTCAAATCGGCTCCATAGCACTTTTATGACTCCCGGAAATTGTGGAAACGGCTCATTAGGTTAAAACCTCTGCTACATTCCGGGATAGGAGCTAATGTTGACCGGCGTCGACGGAGTGTTCTCACCACCAAAATTCATTATTCAGGATGTTGGAAAGTTGTCCGCTTCTATTCGACATTGTCGGAATTAATTAGGTGATTTTGCCGTTGATAATAATAGCTCGATATTCAATATGCATGGTGGGTATTGCACTTTAGCATTTAACGCTGAAAATCGCGAGCCGGAGGTAATACCCCTATTCAATAGGTTATATTATTTCGCATGCTAATTTTTCAGTTAATGTTATGAATTTGTTAACGCATGCATAACAAGTAGAATATATTAATACGTAAGTTACGTACAAGGGTTATCATGAAATGGAATCGAAGCCACTACTAAAACAAGGAAATAAATGTGTTTTTTTTTCGTTATACGGAGACTAAATCCGACGCTAAAGTTACACCTTTTCATTGTCTTATAATTTAACTTTGAAACTAATTTAACTGAAGAAAAATCAGATGTTGAAATCCCTCGGGAATATTTGGATATTGAACAACGAACAAGAGAGAGAGTCGATAAGAAATTTCGTTTGATAAGCAACAAACTGTGCCAATGAATTCTAAAATTAAATGAAGGAGATTCTTCTTCAGCTTCAGAACCATCGGCACAATTGCAACTTAGTCGAATTAGTTAACTTGTGAAAATCATAGATTTCAATGATATTGATTCAATTTACTATAATGATTTAGCGGAAGGAATTGAGTTGAATTACCTCGATTTGAAGACAGACCTTAGAAAGTTGACACAAATACAAAAAGTTTCAGTTACTAACAGATGCAGAAGTGTGAGAGTTAATCGCACAGCGCTAACTTAGCTTACGTAAAAACAAAACATTAAAACATCATTTAAAACTCGACCTATCTCTATCTATCTAAAGCTCGACCAGCGATCCAGATTTTTCAACAGTGCAGATTTTTTAAAATAATGCCAATAACTACCCCTGTCCAATGATATTTCGTTTTAATATAAAATCAACAACTAATATAAATATATTTGTTCTTAGAAAGGCTATCGATAACTAGCGATCTTCTGACCTGGGGCAAATTACAACAACTAATGCCGAACATGTCGTGATCTGTTCATTAATTTAGTGTTTTAATCATGTTTTACTGTCATGTTCGGAACCTAAGTTTCCTAAAGGTGTTGATGAGCAAGTTTTCATCAATATTTTTCGCATGTTCTCTACTTTGCGCCTAATATTCCTGTATATTATTTTGGGTGGCTGTTAGGGCTCACAAAGTAGTGGCGTTGCTTAATTAAATGGAGCTATATTTATTTAATATGTAAGATGACTTCTTATTATCGTTTGCATTTCCATTTACTTCATTAGCTACAACGTTCGCTTGGTAGGGTTCGCGGTGTTTGCAAATATAATCTAACCGGAGCCAAGTAATGGGTTGCAAATAGATTTCTAAATTCGTGTTGTTGTCTTTGTGTATATACGATACTTTTTATATACCATTATTGCTATTCTTGTTATTTCTATATTTGAATGGGGTCGAAATGCGAACATGGTCCCCATCAGATTACCTTTATTAAATATTTACGCTTTAATTTTCCTGTAAGTAAATTTTCGTGTATAAATAAATTGCTCCTCTAGTCTATATCTACGTGGGAACATCTCTATAAACCATGATATTGCCTTATTGCCTGTATTATCAGGAAGCAATAATCATTGGTATTTGCTTATACTAACGAACTAGTACCTTCCTTTTTACGTTCAACATCATTGAGCGACTAACGACTTTAAGCGACAATATATCGGTTTAATTTAATATTCCCAAAAATATCACACTATTGATTTTAAAGCAGAAGAAACCGCGTATTATTTTTACCAGAATTAGTCTTACAAAACTATCAAAATAAATCTAGTAACAAAGAATACAAGATTTGGCATGCACACACATCGTATTTCATTTTTGAACTGGAGAAATATGGTTTTAATTGGTTTGGGCAATATTTTTTAAGTACAGTGTTTTTATTAGAGCTTACCGTGCAATTTTGACAAACACCCCCTCCTTGATAAGAGCCATCAGCACTTAAACTGAGCCCATTTCGGTCGACCTCTTCATCATATCGGCAGCTCTTTGCATGCCCGTGGCAGTTGCAGGGCAAGCATTTTTGGGCGTCCCTCGAAGATCCAGGAAACCACTGACGTTGGTTGTAAAGTGGGCAGCACATTTCGCAGTTTGCTCCACACGTATGGTGTAAGCATTCGCATTCTGGATGCTGAAAATCCAGATCTTTTCATGTTAAAACGGCAATGGTATAGAAGTTAAACTTGCAAATGCTTGCGAAATGAAATTAAATCCGCAATGAATAGTCTTGTTCTAAAAATATCTATCCTCATTTCTCACACTAATCAAGTAAACACTTAGATAAACTTGAATGAGTTGATTTGAATAGAGCAGGAAAACTATTTTCACATTTGATATTAACTAAAATTTTTGTTAATGCTAGTGGTGATTTGCCGATAACTTGTTTAAACCTTGTTATGAAGATACTTCCAATTTCTCCAGTGGATCTAGGCCGATCTCTATCTTAGGCAAATTGCGCATTCCGATAGATTACCGTGCCACAATGTTCCTAGATTAACTCCATACGGTAGGAGGGGATTCATGCTTTAAAAACTTTTTTTTGGAATTTTGCATCAAAGTTTTTGTATTTTAAATAGCCAGAATTTTCTCACGTTTTTTACAGCAGATTGATAAAGAGTGCTCTTATTTCATAAGATACAGGAAATCAAAAATCAATCAATCAAAAATTAATCGAGAGCTATCACCTACCACAAACTTTGGCTCAAGCTGTTAAAGCAAAAATAAAGCTAACACCACACAAAACTAAAACACAACAGTTTACGGGGTTTTAAACATTCATAAAATAGATATTCCTTTACAACCTATAGTTAGTAGATAAACTCACTAACACAACCTTTAGCCAAATATCTAATTATTCATATATGGCCTAGATGTCCGTAGTAGAAATTACTGCATAAATTGGAGGAACTTCATAGGGGTAAAGCGAACAGCTACTGCAATGTATGGGGCTCTGTGTGGATGGACCTAACCCTTCCCTAGCTAATCGTGGGAATCATGGGGAAGAAAACACCACTATCATACACCAGAAAATACCGCCGGGACCTCCTCAGAAGAACCGTCGGGGTCCGCAGCTGGCAAAGACTATTATAGGTTTCATTTTCCAACTCAACAAAAATTAAGACATTGTCATAATTTGTTCTTTTATCACGCATTTATATAATAAGTAATCAGTTAATAAACTATTTTCGAACTTAAATAACATCGTAAACACGTCTCTGGGAGGTTTTATCTCGCCGTTGCCCTTATGTTGTTGTGTGCCTTTTATGTTTGTCTAGAGAATGATTCAGGTTTATTCTTGTTAACTTAATGTCATTACCTGATATAAAGTTTTTCGTTAAATCGCATTGTTTCGAAGACACGGGGGTGCTGAATTTTTTTATATTTTGTTCTTCAGAACTTTTGAATAATTTATACGATTGCGGTCAAATTTGTAACACCCACTTCTGACAATACACATCCTTCGTCTTTTTATTCAAAAATTCAGAATAAAATTGTATTTCAATAAAGCACCTGCACCGTTCCATTCATTGACTCAATTTTGTGGCATTTTACCTTGTCTCGAGATATTTAAGGAAATTTGACCCATTTACCGGAATTTAATTTAGCGTTACACCAAGCCTTAGAAATTCACCAATCTTTGTGAAAATTAGTGTTGGGGTTCGATTTTTTTTGCTAATCGAATGAGTGAATCGTCAACATTGACGAGAAGACAGCGGAAAAATATTATTTCCCCGCCCTGTATCTTCGAAGCGATGCGATTTTGTTAAAAAATTTATGTCATGTAAGGACAGAGAAAGTAAAACCTGAATTACCCTGTATAATCAACAACTTTCCCGCAGAGTTTTCCAAATTCGATCAACGGAAAGGTCACCAAAATCCCTTGCTTCTATCTCTAATTAGCTTATTAATGATGAACTGAAGTAGAAGTTAGTACAACCCTTTTCCGTTTACAGTTGTATTGATCAAAATATTTAAGAAATCTTGTGTAATAATTATTGCAAAGTAAAAAGACCATAAATAGTAGATAGGTAATATAAATAAAGCCGGTCACACTTTTTGTAATATGCAATTTAATTAGTAGATTATTGTTTAAAATAGGTATTGAATTTGTCGTACGAATTCTGTCAAATCTCGATTTACTTTACGCTTCTTTCTAAATTGGTTTGTTAAATCCAGCAAAATAAATCTTTACCACTTTTTTTAATAAACCTTAATCCGACGGAAAATGACGGGCACTAACATTTAATCTCGTCGAAAAATATTTTCTGCGCTCAAACATAATAGGAAAAACTAATTATCCTCAATGGAAAGCCATTAGAAAATATCTTTCCAACTTCCCAAGTTTCTACTTTTTCTTCTAATTGACGGATAATTCGCCATTCAAGTGAGTATTAGTTAGGCTTTCAGGAAATATGAATTTTAATTGGAAGGGGAAGAATTTCATTAAAACCGATCATTATCCGCGAATAGGAAATCGCTCCCGAATATTTTGAGCTCACTTAGTGATGCAGTAAAAATAAAAGAGCTGCTAAAATAGCGACTTGAAACAGTGCTGGAATTCAATTTTGAAGATATTTTAAATGGACTTCAGTTAGCTCACGACGGTGTGTCACGCGAGCGACCAATTTGCGACTTACTGAACTATTTTTACTCAAACAGCTATCGGAACCGTTTTCCATTCTTTTATAAGACCATTACATTTTATATAGTGTTTAACGATTACCTCAGTGCTTTAGACCGGGAAAGATTTAGAATATTTTATTTTAGGTAAATGAAATATGTTTTTAATAAAATAATAAAATAAAAATGAAATATGTTTTTGAATTCCTTCCATCTACAAGAACCAAATTAATTGAGTTTCAATGACCGGAAGAAAAAATATTAAAATTATTGTAAGCTATATGAACATTATCTGCAGCTCTCAGGGGAGGATCTCATTATCTCTAGCATAAATGAAGCACTTTTATTTGTCAACAAAAAAATGTTTTTGAGTTAGCTTTGCCTTCTACTCTAAATGGTTTGTTCCATTTTTACTGTAATAGAGTGACTTTAATGATCAGATGGAAATGTTTGTATTAATCTTTCGAAAGCAGACGAACTACTCTTTTGGCTTCAAATTATGCCGTGATAATGTATCGATCAGCAGATTACACAGATAATACGTAATTAAGGAATGAAAATTACCTACCATTTCAATTGGAGTATTTATGTTCTGCATAGTTTGTCAATATGAGAGTCTACCAATAAAATTTCTTTTGAAAACAGCTCAATTCTCTTTTGTAAACTGACTCTCACTCTCAGAAACATACACACGACAACGGCACCCCTAACAAACGAAGGGTCCTCGATGCAACACAAATTTTGTTGAGCGAAACTGCAAACTTCACCGTGAATACTCCATCATATTCTGACTAGCAGAGCTTCTTCTATTCTTACTCTATCTTATTATTTTTATATAATTTGCTTCATATGAGCGCCCCTGATGCTCCGAATTATGCTGGACTTGATTATTTAGACTTCTAAATTTTTGTTTCTTAGACATTAAATATTACGATTTGCTGGCTACTGTCCAATTTTTCATTATATGTCCGGCACAATGGGTGCAGGATTGCTCATTTCATCCTCCCAAGTTAAGTTGGCAAAATATTTAAAAATTTTCAAATGTGACAACAATTCTTTAACTATTAGTTACAAAATAATATTGATGATTGTTTTACCAATGTATAGTTGGCTACTCCAATTCCTCATTAACATTTCACATTTTCTATTCTACCAAGGTATCTTAATAGAAAACGTTTGTTGCTGTCGCGATTCAGCTATGATTTCTTGGCTGTCGGTCTATCTAAAGCGTTGTTCAATATTTGAATAGATTTGACACTTACACGTTTGAGTTTGGAATTTAGAAATTTTTCACTATAAATTAGACCAGCGACATTTTTTCCGAAGTCCCATGTCAAAGTTCTGGACCTTTCCGAAACATGCATATTAATAGCCATAATAGCGTCTTCGCAAACCACTTCTACATTTCTGATAGAAAACTGCTAATTTTGAGAATGTTGTGGGAGCAGCAATTTTTTAAAGCAATTGTCCCATTGGAAATATGTACATTTTGTTTTCGAACCAAATACGACAAAAACGTCAATTGCAAAATCTTTGACTGATTCGAGCCGCCTGAGACATTGAACTACTGTGATGTACTGGATGTAAGTTGTTTAATTTCGATAGCAGTGGAACCCCAATTTGCTCTTCAATAGGCCTCAGATTCCGTCTCATCCGTCTCAATTGTACCCCTGTACATATACGTAGATTAAACAGTTTATAAGTAAAAAAGATGAAGGTATTGTTTCCTTAGAACAGCAAGACGTTTTAAAGAAAAACTGAAGATAAAAGTGATCAAGTGTCTCGGTTTGGTCTTGGTCGGTTTTCAGACGGCCCTTATAAGAGCATGGTGCGCCAATGCATTGGTCACGTTTTTCAGAGAAATGCGCTTTGAGTGCTTATTTGGACTTCTCTGATAGTTATCGTGTGGGAATCTTGTCAATCTTTTGCCTCTCGACGATCCTCAGGCGGCTGGGGAAATGATTTGAATTCTTCAAATAAATCGTGTTTACATATAATTTGAATGCTGGAATCGTGTTTAGAGGAGCCCTTGATATGTCGGAATCTATTGGTGTTATGACAATGAAACTTGGAGTACTGCTCGAATGTTTTAAGAATACTTTTAATTCGTTAAGAAGAGCCTGGCAGTCTAAGCATTTTGGTTTGAAAAAGTCAACTCAACAAAAGTTGAGAAATCTCAAAACGTTTCGAATATTTTAATCTAGAAGCCTGAAACTTTCCAGCTATTGTTGTAGCTAGCTTTACATATCAAATAAAAATCTACTTAAGCTATTTTAGGAGAAATGTGCGTTTTCGCGAAGTGCAATTTTTAGTTTTCAGAATTCCCGTCGTATGCTTGCGTTTTTTAGTAACAGTTGAATACTAAAAAATAAATAATTTGCATCTATCGGATGATTAAAATTTACCGTCTTTCCATGTAAGGCGTTACTAGAACCTACTAGACAAGAGAGAAAAAATGTGAAAAAACAATTCAGTCATTTTTCGAATATAAAAGCAAAACATCGCAAAAATTCCTCACGAAAATTTGCTGTTTGAACGCTCTATTATAGTAGCTTTTTATGCTTTAAATGAATATTTTTTTGGTATAAATGACAATTTTGTTGTGAAGGAATATGTCATTTTTATGTGTTTAAAGCTTATTAAACAAAAATCTTAGACACAATTCAATTCATCGAAATTAATAAAACAGCAGTTTTTGCGTAAAAACATATAGAGTGCAAAACCAATATTTGCAGTTGAAAATAATGACACATATTAGGGCTTTAACTACTTTGCACCAATCGGTTTCTCGTTTCTTATAAGAGCTTTAAGATGGGTTTGTAAAGCAGATTGTGTCTCTTTTTTGGTTATACATAATATCCAATATCGTTTATAAGTTAGAACTCGAATTCTAACCCAAACTAACACTTAAAGCCTCTAATAGACGTCTGGTAAATGAGCGGGTTTATCAATCGATTTAAACTTATTGACAAATTACAGAAGTTTTGAAAATAATAATTTTAACTTTTTACTACACATTTCAATTCGGCGTCAAATATATTTTTCTCAGTTCTTTTTTTATTTAAAATGTTTTATCAGTAAACATTTGAACTTACCCCACTAGCGACATTGTGCCTGCAATTCTCAGCGTGGCCATTACAAACGCATTGTCCTCCTATGGATATATCCTTGATCGAGTAGAATAACTTTTTGTCTTTCAGCCGGTCTTGGCTCAACGATTTAGGTATTGGTTCCAAATTTCCTCGCAAACCCATTAGTCGGAATCGTACATATCTAGCTTTGGTGAATTCTAACAGTTCGGGACTGGATTCATTCGCTCCTGGACGCCCCTGGACCAGTGATATGTGAACCTGTAATAAATTTAAAATAATCTTCCATTAGAAATTCAATTGAATTATTTAACCGGTATATCAGCGTGTGATGAGTGCGTATTTGTTTTAAAGAATCTCTAAATGATATCTATTTATTTCAGATAGAAATGCTTCATAAATATAGCGAACAGTTGTATTATGTTATTTATGATTTAAGTCATATTTAAAAGTATTCTGTGAAAACGCTGGAAAAAGTTTCCTAAATATTTTTAATACGTCAAGTGTTATTTACATGTTTGAGTTGAAATTTTTTGGAAAACTTTAAATTTTTTAGGTCTGCATAACAATTACAATGATGTAAATTTTTTTAAAGTTATTTTAATTGTATGTAGTATGCTTAAAATATTACATGCCCAAATCACCCTCTAGCTAACCTCACATAAAGGCTTTGAAAAAGCACTAGTTCATTCTATTTAACCAAAAATTATAATTGTATTTATTTGGCTCACAAAAGCAGTTTTGTTTAGTTTCGCACACTAATGTAGTAAAGTGTTATGTTAAAGAGCAAAAATTGATCCATGGCAATTATTTCTTTTTCACAAACAAAACGCATGCTTAGATTTAACTGAACAAAATCAACATTTGTCATCTGAGCAACAATTTCGTTTGAGACAAAATCGTTCTGATTTTCACCTAACAATATAAAATTAAACTCCTCATGGCATTGAAATACTTTTCACGTTCAGCCTTAAGTGCATATGTAATTTTTGCAGTTTAAGTAAAATCCATAGACTTAAGAGAAAGAAGAATGCTTGCTTCAGTACCTTCTCTGTATCTCTCTATCAATCTCAATTCATATATTCCAAAAAATAATAGTTTCAAATCACTGAAAACCAACATTTACATGAGAACATTTCTTAATTGGGGTACATTTCATCCACTTTAATAACCAAGGATAAGAATTGCGAAAGGAGCACAGACACATGTTTACGACAACATAATAATTCTAAGAATTACGCATACAGAAGAATTTGTTCTATTTTCCAATTGAAAGCAATATGGGGCGATAGGAATTCCAATTTTTAATTTCAGAATGAAACCAGGCCTGTAAGGGTTCTTGGATCGGTTTATAATTATGGACGGTTTTTATAATAATATAGTAAAACATTGCCATATCTAGTTTCGAAGTTCGAATTTGTAATAAACCCCATTTAAATGCATTGTTTTTATGATTTGAAGAAAAAAATGAGCGTTGTATATGGACTTGAGCTACTGTTTATGCTTACAGCTTCAGCACAAAAAGTAAAGCTTCTACTCCTAATACAATAATTTGCCTAAGAACATCTAAATATGAAACATATAATAATTCACCTAAGTGCATTCTTTCATATTGTTAAAATAATATTATTGATGTCTTTTGAGTGATAGGGAAAACTGAAAACATTATCCTTTGAATGTGATTACTTATGCTGCCTGATGATGTGTAAGCTAAGATTTGGCAAAAATTTTGACGAATAGCGCTCGAAAATTATTACGCCACAATAGTGATTTTTTTAGAAAATAACAAAATTTCTTGTTAAGCTATTCACTGTTTCATTGTTACCCATTTCTTATGGTTCAGACTGCATTTACTACACTATTTCTTCCACGTTCGTCAAATAAGGTGAAAAAAACTTTCAGAAAACAACTAATACAATTATGCAGAAGCTTCCTCACCTCAATTTATACAGTAAAATTTTTCATTCGGTTCAATACAGGTTTTGCCATTTGATTCGCTCCCGTAAATTAGTCACGTCGAATATCATTCCAGACCAAATTCTGTTTAGTGCAATGTTTTCCGTGTTTTCAGTCAAGTTTGACGCATTTTTAATATTAAAAATCGCATTTGGATCGTGTTGTTGTCAGGCAATTTTGATACATGAAATTTCCTGACTATACTTTTCACCACAATAAAAAAAAATCCGACGAATGTCAAATTGAAGTAGTTTTAGTTTTGCATTTGAGCGTATCAAGTTGCTACTGATTAGCATTAGGCGGAAGTGATATATTTTACCATCAGAAACTTCAGCTACCACACGGTGACAAATTATTTTCTTGTATATTACTATGTATAGTACAACCCCTAAGATATTTCTGAGATTTCCTCAGTTCCATTCTATGAGACTGTCTTTTGATGGAGTAGGGAAGATTACATTCTCTCCCACACTACAATATTTTGGCCTCTTTGCGAAATATGCAGATATTTTATTCGCTTGAAGATTTTGACAAATTTTGGTTTGATTTCTTGCGTTATCAGCATCCTATTTTCTCACAGTGAAAGATAAGATAATGAATTGGTAATTATTTTGACAGCATCCATTTTCATGAACATCTCCACTAACTTTTGATATGTTCTTATTAGATCTATGAACAATGTGGTAGATTTCATAGGAATCATCGAGATTAAAATTCATAATTTTGTGGCATTATTTTTTTTATTTCTCTGCAAAATCTCGGAAATTTACATTTACTAGTTTGATAAAAATTGCATCCAATGCTGATCCTTTTAGGAGGATCATTATTAACCGAAGTTTCTTCTTTTGCAGCATTTCGCTTGTCTTCACTTGTATTAAATTTCAATGTCCAATCTCATTTATCTTAGTATGTAATATTACTTTTTGTCATTTGTATCAAAACCGATTATTATCTCGATTTTCCGTTGCACAAAGTAGACTCGTTTTGACTCTTTTTGAGTATTGATTATTGCGATTATATAATTGGGAATTGGTAGCCCATTAATGCCAACTTTTAAAGATTTTTTCAACTTTTACGAAGAGATCAACAAATTGCTGCATACCCCTCTGTTTTGTCGAATGCTACTAACACATGATTACAGATATTTCCACAGAATTATGAATATTACTTTACTTGAAATATGTCGTCTTTTCATTGGCAATTATGAATTAGTGACACAGCGAAGTTCGGCATAATCACCTCTCCGCAGTAAACTGAAGAGCACAATTTTAATGTGAAAGCTAAACATCTCTAACACTCAGATTAATTGGCCCATACGTTTCCCAAATTGCCTAAAATATCGAATTTGCACCTTACCCAAAATAGTAGTAATTCTGCAAAATGGCTGGCGAATTAGCAAGCTAACCAAATGTCTAAACATTTCGCATATTGTCGCATTTTGTATATTGTCCTAGGAATCATGTCTTAAATGAAAATAAAGGCAGATCCTAATGAAATTTTCAGCTCAAATAAATGTTCAAAAATCTCCTTTGAAAATGTGAATCTATTTTGTTTTATCTACCCAATAAATTTGAAAACTTTACTTATTTTAATAAATTATGAACTTCAGGCATCAGGCATTATGTCAGAATTATGGCTTCAGGCAGAATAAGCTTCAAATAATTAAAAAGTGAAAGAATAACTAATTCATTGCTGAAGACGTTTTCCGTGGCAGCTTGAAAAGGAGTTAATTTGTGGTAGCATTTTCCTACAGTGTTTAGTATTATTTCATGTCTTATTTAATACTTTCTGTTAATCTTGTTCACTGCAGCTCATTTTAATTGTAGCTTGATGTAACTTTTGAAACGTATTTTTTTTCAGTGAATCTATAAATCATCAACCGGGTCAAAATCTGTTTTTATCTGCAAAGTAATCTCAAAAAGTTCGTTCTAATAAGGTACAAAGCTGACATTTTTCTCATGCGAAAATGTCAATATATTTGTTAATAGTCAAAATATCTTCTATTGTTTGAGACCAATTAAATTATACCAGCCACTTTCTGGGGGAGAATATTAAATATGCATCGAAACACAAGATAATGAATTTGAAACTACCTGCATCCTTCGGGAGCAGCCGAAAATGTTCTGTTAAACATTTTCGTATACAAATTATAGAAATAGCGTTTCTTAGATATGACTTATGAGCTTGATTTTTTTTTATGTTATTGGACTGAAACAGATTAATGAAAAATTAATGACAACGCCATGATGTATCCGCTAACACGTGGGAATAAGTTCCAAAAACACTTTGCACGTCCGTTTTTGTTTCATTTCATCCATTTCTTTTCTTTCCATTCTAGTTCCAAAATTCTGAAAAAGGAAAAAGAATCCCTCTCAAAATACAACTTGATTTCTGGAATCTTCGATACTATACCCACGTTTGGGCGGATACCTTGTGGCATTAACATAAAAATTTCTTTCCGTAATTTATTCTTACGAGGTGCCATTTCATTTTCACACAAATTTTGATGGTTCATTTTATTGCGAACTAAGGTGCAAGTTTATTTTTTGCTTTACATATTTTATACCCTGATTAACCAAAATTGATTTATAGTCGAGATATATTTGCAATTGTTTGCCAAATTAAACATCCCATCAGCTACTTTAGTCTAAGAAATCCCGGTTTGAACAATCTAACTACCTCGCCCTGTGTAAAGGCATCTAAAAACAAATTTTTGAGGCACTGAATAATTGAATGCGTATAATGAACTAAATCATCGATTGCCCAATGAGGTTCGTTATAGTATAGCTGTAAACAAATCTATCAAAACATGAAATTAATTTGTTTTCTGATACCTTTACTGTTGACCCAAATAATGATTAATTCCAATTAAACGGTCGTAACTCGGACTGGAACTGGGTGCCCCCCGTAGAGCCCCTTTTTTATATTTCACCAGGCCTATTAAGTTTGTACACATTCCAATTAAAATTCTGAAACATAATACTTTAAATCCGAATACCTGTAATATTGTGTTCAGGATACTTAAATCAAAACATTCTTGTAATATGGGCTTTATGAACATACCATTTATTATAAACTGCCTGAAAAAACAGCATTAATAATTTACCATGAATACAAAATATGCTCGTTACCATTATTTATGTAGGTATTGTCAGATTGTCATGCAAATATTTGAAAACCATGTTTTCGGTGTACGCATAATCCCGGAAATTCAATTTACAGTTATTTTAATTCATACTGGATATATTGTTTGAGACCGTGTAATCCTCTATTTCGTAACAAACAAATTTGTGACTTTATAACGAGACTTTCCACCAATGTCTGTCTACACGGTATAGCATGCCTGTAAGTCCACTTAACAACTGACTTACCTCCCCGTTTTCCAATGGCGTCAGCTTCGAAAAGTACGATGTACAAATAATCTCATTATCCGTGAAATAATGAGGTTTTCCTTTGGTGGCCGGAACTTGGAACTGGTCCATACATTCCTTGTCAGTTCTGGCAAAGTACTGCCAAGTACTGAAATGTTGTCCATCTTTGGATTTTTCCAGCACCCAGGTGCCTGGACGTGGTGAATTTGCTGCTTTCAATATGATGTAAGCTACTTGATATTCCTGCAAAAAAAATAAACTTAATGGTTACTGTAATAAATAAGTGTTGAAGGGCCCTCATAAGCCCTTTATAATGGACTTTGAGTTTCTGCTAAACTAAAACATCACCATAACTATCAATTATTTAGTTTCATTATGAGGTAAATCCAGCTACAGGGAGGATTTTGAGTATCTCTCAATTCAGGTTTTCATCTGTTCAAAGTTTTAGGTGGTCAAATGCTTTGCTTGGATATTATACAAGGGATTGAGCTGACTTTTTGTCTTTCCATCGTAAATTAATTAGTTTGCTTGCTTCATTGCTGATAATTTTTTACATTTTTTATCTTGATGCTATTCCAGTATTTCTGTCAGTTCCCGAATGGCCCCGATCAACTTAAGTATGTGATATTGCAAATTTATATTTATTCAAATTATCAGCACTAGACCAAGTCAGTCCATCAGAAAAAATCAGAGATCCATTTTACAACTGTCCAGACTTCTGAACACTGTAACTGTTGACAGCGCCTGGGTCGAATACGCTACAAAAATTTGTTTATGATTTATATATATGTGACTTTGACTTGATAATTTGATAATAATAATAATAATATAACTGACAATTTGCACAGACGAATTATCAGAGCGAATTTTCATATATTGTATTATCCTACTATTGATACACAATTTATTAACATACTCTTTTTTAGGTTCATTTAGGTTCTTTTGATAACGATAG